TTCTTAAACCATTTTGGATGTAATCAATTTACAGCTAAAGAGAGATTTTCTAAGCAGCAGGATAAGAGAAATCCACTTGATGAGTCAACATTCTTTCTGGATTAAAAAAGGGGGGAAAAGCTTCAAAGATTTAAAAACTTTTAGCAAAAAGCTTAACAAGGACTGGATATAAGCAAGTTTAAAATGGATAAAGGGATAGTAATTTTGAAAGATTAATTTTTGGTGAAAGTGCTTTTGAACAACTTGGAATTAAAACAGACAAACGGACTGGACCTTCGTGGGAATCTGTTTACTATTAAAAAGCGTGGACAATTGGTGGATTTTATAAAACAAAAGATAAAGGTAATAGGAGTCAGATCGTGATGCTGACTGTAACTACGGAGTGCCATTTGAGACGAAAGTATTAAGGGCATGGGAAGACAAAGCAAAAAAGGGGGGGAGGGGAGCCTGCCTTTTTCCCTTGTAATTGAGACACTTCTGGATTATAATATCACAGTGGCAACCATCAGAAAAGTGGCAAAAACAGCAGAGGGGAGGAGAGGATAATGAAGCAACCTGCAGAAAGAAGAATTACGCCAGACTTGCTTCAAAAATGTTTGAGGAATTGGGCAATAAGTTATCTGAATCACTTGATACTAAACTGACAGCTTTTGAAAAGAGAATGGGTGAAAGACTTGTAAAGATGAAACAAGAAGTTAAGAAGATGGAAAGCTCTGTAAAACAAGTGTCTGGAGATGCAAAACAAATTAATGACAAAATGGAAATTCTGGAGAAAAGAAGTTATAAACAGAGAGTTGGAAAGAGACTTATTAGATAATCTGACGCGACTAGAATTGAGAGAGAAGGAATTCCATTTGCGATTCAGAGTAATTCCAGAGGATTCTGGTGAAGATATTAGAGAAAAGGTTATTAAAGCTTTACCAAGACATGAAATGGGACAAGGAGGATACAGAGGCAGAAATTGATAAATTATATAGAATAAACACAAGATTTGTGAGAAGAAATGTTCCAAGGGATATCCTGGTGCACTTTGTCAGGAAGAAGACAAGAGATCAAGTTTTACAGCAGCATTTTAATACAAGACTAAAGATTGATAACACAGATGTAATTGTGCTTAAAGAAATTCCGATTAGAATACTGCGTAAGAGAAAAGAGTACTTCTTTTTGACTGATAGACATAAACAAAAAAAGATTCCATTTCAATGGGACAAATTGGAAGATGTGATTTTTACTTTTAAACAGCAGAGGTTCTGACTGAATTCTGTCTAGAAGGTGAGAGAATTTCCAGAAAAATTCAAAGAAGAGTTGGAGGAGACTCGGATGGAGGAGCTAGATGAGACTACACAAAAACCTCAACAGGTACAACAGGAAACTGAAAGGGATAATGCTGAATTAGGAGCTATAGGTATTGATTTTTCTAAATTTTTGGCTTGATTATAGATTACAAATGTTTAACGTGGAACATAAATAGAGCAAATGCTCCTCAAAAGAGAAAAAAATTCATTATTTGAAAAAATTAAAACAAGGCATAATTTGCCTACAAAAGATACATATTAGAAAAAAGGACAAAATATTTGATTTATAAAAAATTGGGTGAAGAATTTATTTCAGCAGGAACTAAAAAAAAGAAATGGAGTTGCTTTGATATATATACCACCAACTAAAACCAGAACTTGTACTGACTGATAAGCATGGAAGATTTGTTGAGGTGGAAGTTAATTTGCATGGGGCTAAGACTCTGATATTGGGAATTTATGCCCCAAATGAGGACAAAGTATTGTTCTATAAAGGACTTGTGGAGAGACTAATGGGCTTTTCTTATGAAAACTGGTGTTTTGATGGGGGATTAGAATGGAGTGATCTCTCCACAACTAGACAGAACTTCTGAGAAAAATATTAAAATTACTCAAGGAAAATTACCAAACTTTTTTTTTTAATTTGATGGACAATTTAGGGCTTGTTGATATATGGAGACAGAAAAATGGCAATTCAAGAGAGTACACATATTTTTCTGAAAGACACAGATCCTTTTCAAGAATAGATATGATTTGGATTTCAAAGAATTTGGCTACCAAGGTTCATAAAGTAGAGTATTACCAAAGACCTTTTCAGATCATAATCCTGTGAGTTTGGTTTATAAAAGGAAATCCAGTTCTTTTAGATGGA